TGAGGGAGACAGATAAAACCAGTCATTGGAGCACATTGATCCTGCCATTTCCTTGTCTCCCACATCCAATCCATTAGCCAGTCCTGTGGCTCCGAATAAATCCAGAATCCATCCACTTCTCTCCAGTTCACTGCTATTTGCCTGATTCGAGGCATCATCATTTCTTACCACAGCCTTCCAACTGGTCTCTATGCAGTAGATGGAACGTTCTTTTAAAAATCAGATCACGTCCTTCTCCTGCTCAGAACCCTCCGATGGGTTCTTATTGCAATTAGACTAAAATGCAAACTTTTCAGCACAGCCTTGAGGCCTTGCCCATCTCTCTAATTTCATCTACTGCTTCTCTCACTCTGCTCCAGCCACACTGGCCTTCTTTCTGTTTCTCCAACATTTCCAGCTTGTTCCACCTTGGGCACCCATCCACCTATTCTCCTCTGAAATAGTCCACCTCTCTCCCCCTCTATCTTCAGGTGAGTGGGTCTTTCTCACCATTCAAGTATCAGGTCCAGGATTCTTTTTACAGAACAACCTTCTCCAACCACTCTACCTAAAGTCGCAGCTCCCTCCCCATCACCATGCTATACACGTCACCTTGTTTTACATTCATCATTGTATATAACCAACTTTCCCCACCCAAATCCTGTTTACTTGCTAACTTTTTTGTTGTATTTGTCCCATTTTAATGCACAGCCATGTCTCCTATCCACTGAGGACAGGAATTTCTTCTGTTTTGTTCTCTGCTGTGGCTCTAATATATACAATGATGTCTGGTGTATACCTGGTGATGCCCGGTACTGAGAAAATATTTGCTGAAGAAAATGAATGAGCACAGAAGACTAAGGAGGAGTCAAGAGGAAGTGCCTAATCTCATACAAAAAAAAGAACTTCTTCCTTTGCCAAAATTCCACCTTCATAGATTGCCTGATTGCCTTGCTTCAGCTGTCTACCAAATGCAGCTGGAAAACAAAGTCTCAGACCTCATAAACACTTGCATAATCTCTACCCTGCTGGGGTCTGCTGGGGGATGGAGGTTAATTCATCACTGTTTATTTGCAAATGCCTGTACCTAGCTGGATTTGGCCATCGGTAAATCATGGCTTCAGGTTCAACATTTCAGTTGTTTTAGCCGCAGAGATGTTTATTTTCCTTAAAGCATTTGCAATAAAAAGTGCGAGCAGCTTTGGAAGGAAGTATGTCATCAGCTTCAAGAGTCAACCAAGAACTGGGCACAGGCAGATGCCCCAATTGTCAACTTCCAGCAGGAGAAATTGGGCAAGTAAGTGCAGAGCTTGCATCTATGTGCCACCGAACATCTGGTGGAACACAGAGGCAGAAAGCAGTTAGATTTTTATTCTTTTTAGCATCATGTTAAATTGGCCATGAAACCAGGGATGGTGCAATTGAATTATAAAGGGCTGAAGTATTAAATAAAAACCTAGCAGAGAGTCAAGGTGTCTGGTTCAAGGTGGGCTCGCTTCTAATAGGAGGTGAAGCGGACTTGAAAAACAATAAGTGGAAAAGACAACATCTTCTTTGCTAATAATTTGCCTCATTTACTGCTGGGAGATGGGGCCATGGGGTTTGCAACTCTTGGAGAGGTGATTTCCCCTGGAAAACGGGGTGTTTCCCATTGAAGAGGAAGGAGCGGTTCCTTAAATGTCAGTGGAATCCAGGAGTGTGGCCAGATGGAAAGTTTTATTGTCTTTTCTTGTTTTCTTGCTATGACTTTTCTGTTTGGCCTTTTCCCCGTCCTCCTTCACGTCCAGCCCTTGGACAGGCTGAGCCTGTCTGATCGAGGATATTAAATTCTGGCTTGTTACAGAGCCACGGTAAATGCACCTGGCAGGAGTGACAGACTCAGCTTGCCAACTCAAGGATGGCAGAAAAGCCATCATCTTTATCACCTTTAAGACAAGTCCCTCAAAAACAAAACAAAAAACAAAAAAAAATACAAGCCCCTCTATTCTACTGAGTTAGTGGAAAGTTCAACCTTGGTCATTTGGGGGCACGACCCCAGGGATGTGCTGGTGAATGTTTAACAATCGGCTCTCTGGGGGGGACAAATAAGCCCTGATTTGTAGCATTTGCTGATTTCCATGGCATAAATATTCCCACTGTGGCTGAGTTTGAGCTGCCAATGTGACATCAGTGAGATCAGAGCTGGGGAGAGATTTGGGGTAGCCCCCGTTATATATTATTTCCATCACACAGATACTATAACCACAAATAACCTCAAGAACGTGGATAAATAGTAAAACGTATAAAATCACTAGGAAGTGATGAGTTTTGAGTATTAATCTTTGTTTTAATATAATGTCTTTAATTGTAAGCTTATAAAATTTATACAATTTGATATTTAACAATAGCTGTGTTTGATAACAGGCTTGCAAATATCCTGAAAATTGAGCAATCACTTCTGGTTACCAAATGACTCGCCACTGCTTGTTGTCCTTCTTGGGCTGGGTCGAGTCTTAGTATCTGGGTCTTACACAGATCACAGCATCTATTGGTACCTCCAGCGATCAACTCTTTGTCTAGAGTATACAGATGAGTGCGGAAACTCTCATTTCCCAGACTCTAGAGATTGTGGTATGTACTTGCAGGTGGGGCTCATCTACCTCAAGGCTGATAATATTCATCAGGTAAGAACCAACACAGTTGTAATGGTTGTGTATGGCCCTAGCGGTTGTGTATGACCACCGTCTGGTCTGACTGATTGGTGCCCATGATGTATGGATGGTTCTATATTTTGAACCTCACCTTTTATCTAACCTCCCTGCTGCACCACTCCTCCTGAAGCCTGGAATGTCCTCCAGGCACGACGGTGGAGCATGGGAGGCTTGCGTTCAGCCATGCAATCCTCCTTCTTTGCTACCTGCTACGGATGCTGCCCCGACTCAGATAACTCTGGGCTTCCTGACCTTACTGCTCACCAGTCCCTGGGGCTCCCAGTTTCCCAAGGCATCAGCCTCAAAAAGCCCTCTAACCTGGGTTCAAACACCAATGAGGCCGAGATGTCTGCAACTAACAAAGGAGTCCTTGTGGGTTTCAGTCTTTGATTCTGAGAGTCAAGTTCACATGCCATGCCTGGGCTCGGCTCTATACAAGACTCAGACTGGCCTCCATCAGCCTCCTCAGGCCGGGGACATTCTCTGCAAGATTATCCCAACATTGACTATCACGTTAGCCTGGTGGGGTTGTCATAACAGAATACCTCAAACTGGATGGCTTAAACGACAGACGTTTACTTTCTCGCAGTTCTGGAGGCTGGAAGCCCAAGATCAAGGTGTTGGGGGCTTGGTTTGTCTTGAGGCCTCTCTCCTTGTCTTGCAGATGGTGCCTTCTAGGTGTGTCCTCACGTGGCCTTTTCTCTGTGTGTGCACGTTCCTGACATCCCTTCTTCTTATAAGGACACTGGTCCTATCAGATTAGGACCCACCTTCATGACCTCATTTAACCTTAATTACCTTTTTAATGGTCCTATTTCCAAATACAGTCACCCTGGAAGTTAAGGCTTCCACATATGGATTTGGGGAGGAACACAGTTCAGTCCATGACAACTTTTGAGCCCTTGAAATGTGGTTGGTCCAAACGGATATGTGCTCTAAGTGTAAAATACACTCTGGAGTTTTCATCTTTCATCATTTTTCATCACTTTCATCATGTATTTGAAACAGAATATAAAGTATCTCATTAATACTTTTTTATACTGATTACCTGTTGGACGGTCATACTTCGGATATATTGGGTTAAATAAATATATTATTAGAATCACTTTCATCTATTTCTTTTAATGTTTTTTTTTAGTGCGGCTATTCAAAAATTTAATATGACATGCACGGTTCGCATTGTGTTTCTGCTGGACAGTGGGTGTCCGGAGACCCCCCCCCCCCACAGAGAGCTGATACAGCCACCCCTCCTGTAGTCAGTGGGGAGGATGTTGTTCTCTGGGGCCCCGTCTTGACCTCTCCCTTAGTATCTTTCACTCCTTTCTGTCTCCCCACCGTCAGTGCCCACACCTTCCTGCCTCGTCTTGGGCTCAGTCATCCAGTCCCATCATTGTGCTGCTGGACAGGGCAGGGGTGGAGATGCAGATGGACAGTGAAGGACGAGCTTGCAGGTGACGGAGGTGCAGGAAGGAAATGTCTCGCTGTGGTTCTCACTGTGGTCTGGCTCAGAGTGGGAGATGCGTAAGATGAATAGGCCTTCCACGCTGGCTATATTACCCCTCTTACCACATCCCTTGTGTGTTTTGTGCTAAGAGAGTCTCCTCTCTTACTCTGCCTCGAGTTGCTTTGCCAAAAGCCCCATTTATGATCCCACCTTGAAACATTCCAGGTCCCAGGAAAGAGTTAAGGGGAGAAGGAAAAATATTCCATCTCACCACACGGAGATGAATAAAATATGGTCCTAGACCTCAATTTGCTCACACTATCATGGAGGAAGGGACTGGGGGGCGGAGGAAGGAGATGACCAGCGTTGTATTCAAGGCCACACAAGGGGTGCTTCGTCTGCATGATCCCATTCAGTCCTTCTAACAACCTCATATTATTCTCATTTCACAGGAATGGGAACAGAGAATCGAGAAGTTAAATAACTCCTCCAGTGCTACCAGCTGGCAGGTGGCAGGGCCAGTATTTGAGACGGAGCCTATCTGACTCTCGGCCACCATGCTGTGGGCCTGCAGTACAAAGGGAAGCTTTTGCTGGAGCATATGGGAACTCTCTTGAATCGGATTCAGGTCCAGGAAGCAAAGCAGAGAGGATTCTAGGCAGGGCACTGGCATGTACGAAAGTGGGGAAGAAAGTCTGGTCCAGGTACTTCCTGAAAAGTCCAGTCAGGAAATGGATTCTTACAGGGTTACCATCATGTGAGTCTCCTGCTTAATGTTTAGGGTTGGGGGGGGCACTGTGACTTGGCAAGGACCCGCGGGCACCCCTCTGTAGCCTGCCCAGCCCTGTCAGCTTGTCTATGGGTTGTTCCATACTGGGCTCACTCACCGGCTTCGTACAAGGTCTTTTTTGAGGTTTATAATTTCTCGGTCCATATACTTGAGGCTCTTCATTGGCTTGTCTTGGACCTGATGGGAAGCCAAGAAATGAAACAAAAAAAGTGTTAGTACAACTGTTACAAGCAGAGCCAGACTGCAGGAGGCTCGTGCGTTCATCTGAGATGTCTGATCAGATGGAAGGGATCCTGGGCAGCACAGCATCCTTCTCTGCACCAAAGAGGGGCCGTGTGGCACGGTGGAAATAGCAAGGGCTTTGGAGGCAGGCACACCTGAGCTCTGATCCTGGTACTGTTCAGCGACAGCTGTGTGACCTTGGACAGATGACAACCTCTCTGGGCCTCAGTTTCTTCAGCAGAATGGGGGAATAATTCCTACTTTGCTGTGACAGACTAAATTAATTGTCAAGTTTCTGACTTAGCCAGCATTTGAAAAATGAAGGCTTCTATTATTAGCGTTATACTGAATGTAAAGCAAAGAATTAAATGTTAATGATCATTATTATTGGTGGCAGAGGGAGTCGATTTGAAGAGCTGAATCTCTTCAACGTAAAGATGCAAGTGTACTTTTCTTCCCTCACTGCCTCCAGTAGCAGGATTTTATGAGCAAATTATCCAGGTCATCATTCCTGGGTTTTTCTTTCTCTCTCCTCTATTCATTTCCCTTGCTTAGCCATAGGGGGAACCTCGCAAGACTTAAAATCATTACTCAGAGGTTGATACCAGGTCAACATAAAGAAGAGAGGTAAATTAACTATATTTTAATATAAAAGTCACTTTTCTCAGCTACCAGTTTGGTGAAATAATAACAAGACTATTATCTGGATTATCCTGTCCTGAAATTAATTCCTACAATATTAGGTTTCTTTAATTAAAAGAAATGCCAAGGAATTATGAGAAAATGGGTGTTTTCAGATGCAGCTGGTGCGAGAACACACAGTGATGACTTTTCTGAAGGGCGGTTCGTCAATGCATACCAAATGCTGTAAAAAATGTGCCTGCCCTTGGATCGCATGATGCTTCTGCTGTCAAGCATCCTACGGGAATGCTCCTGCACGGGCACAGAGCTTCATTAACAAAATTGTTCACCAGGATGCTGCTTGTAAGAGCAGACTCTTGGAAACCACCTATACATCTTCCCAACAGAAGACAGGTTAGATAATCACGGTGCATCTAAACAACAGAATACTACGCGGCAATTAAGTGCAATGACAATATAACGATGTAAGTATATTTACTGATACGGAGATGCCTGAGTTCTTTGAGCGAGAAGATATGTTACAAAGCAATACATATGGCATGATTCTGTTTTTGTTTTTTGGGAAATGCTTGATGTGGCTGTACACACATAAAAAGATATGGAAGCCCATACGCCCGAAGGCAGTGATTCTCTCTGGGGGTGAGATTACTGCAGATTTGATTTCTTTTTCTTGGCTTATGTGAATTTCCTATTACTCTGCCATAAGTATTAATCAATTACGCAATAAACAAAGAGAAAAGAATTAAAACAAATAAATGGCCCAGGGAAATGTGACAAATGCTGATTGGTGGTATTGTATTGAGAGTGTATTTCAAAGGCAGAATGAGGACGGGTTGGGTACATGCTGAGAGAAATCATAATAAGGACGTGTGGAAGGAGGCAAGGCATTTTCCCAGCGGCTGTCATCACCCACTTTCTCTGACAGCGAAATTGGGCTGTGGGGCCTGCTGCTCTGGGCCTTTTAAGTGGAATGTGGAAGGCGGGGAGAGTAGTTATAGCAAAGTGGAATGATATTTGTGGCAGGGTGGTAGGGCTGGAGAGTGGCATCTCAAGTGGAGGGAAGGTGCTGTTACTGGCCTGCCTGACTCTCAGCCACTTTTCTCCCGGGTCACCCACCACATGTCCCGTGCAGGGCAGCTCAGAGTAAGGGCGGAGAGCCTATGGCAATTCTCCAGTCTTCGTAACTGCAGCTCCTTCTCATCTGCTGAATACGTAGGATACGCACCTGGGATAAGCTCGAATAAGCTCAACTAGATACGAAACAGGGAAATCATGTATAAACTTTATCTCTTTAGTTATTATTAGGAATGAATTGTAGGTAATATATCTTGTTCATCTAGATACACCAGGGGGTCTCAAACCCTTGGCTGAAAATTGACGGCAAACCCATCAGTTTTCATCTTGACGGGTGGCTGAAGTGAGCGGAGAGACAGACACCAAGGAGGCATATAAGGATGTCCAGGAGTCCTTTTAAAAACTTCTACATAAGGGACATTTGCTTTTCTTGCACTTCTAGCATCTCTTCATCCTCTCTCTTGATACCTGTTCCCTGGTTAGCCCCCTCCTTTGGAGCACCAGCACCTTGAGAGAAACTCATGGTACCAGCAGCAGGGGTGGTCCTGAATGGCTGAACCAAACAGCACAGCTCATCCCCTGTCCTGGTGACTGGTCCAGGCATGGTCATGTGACCCGGTTTGGGCTAAGGAGATACAAGCAGACATTTGCCAGGGGCTTCTAGGAAGCATGATTCCCAGATCTTCTAAAGAACCACAGGCAGAGAAGTTCTCTTTCCTCACTGGCTATGAACGAAGAAGCAGACATCTGTGGGAGTTGCTGGCAGCCTTTTTGTGCCCATGAGGGAGCCAGCTCTCAGCTGAAGAAGATGTGGGGGAAGGCAGAGAGGAGAGTCAAAGAAAAACGTGTTCTGTGGTAACTTGTTGAACCGATTAAGCTTAGCTAGACCCTGGACTTTTCACAAACATTTCCTTTCTTATTTAAACCGGATCGAATTGGTTTTTCTGTTAACTGCAAATACAAGATTTCTATCTGAAATGTGTTCTTCCCTTGGGTGTACCAAGGCAGTCCACAGATAACAATTAGTTTAACTAGTCCTCTTTCCCCTCCCCTTCCTTTCTTGGGGGAACGAAAACAGATGACCCCCATTCTGGTGCATTTTGCATTGAAAACAAAGAGACTGGCCATGTTGAGATCAAACATTTGAAATCAAGGTTGTCTCCCTTTCTAATCTCTTTTTTTTAGCATCTCATTAACTCTTTCCTACAGGACCAAAGAAACACTCTTAAAAGATGTTGTGAATTAAACATATTTATGAACAAAGAAAAAGCAAACACACTCCAATTTCCCTGCCAGCTGATTTGAAAACACATGGTTGAAACCCTGCTTGATGTCACAGTCATATACTCATCTGTCTCCTAAATGTCTCAAATTTCACCCTCCTCATGAAGCAACTATGATACTGTCCAAATGTCAAGTATTTTTTCCCCCAAATCTTGCCTAATGATAGTTGCCTACACACCGGGGAGTCACACTATAACAAAAGAGTGACCCTGGATTCACTGGGGTTGGTGCTGAACAATTTATAGCAGCAAAGCCAAAGTGTGTCCTCAGCTCGACACAAAACTTTAGCAGGACAAGATCCACCCTACAGGTCCCACAACTATGCCAGCATTTCAATGGATTCTCAGAAAGTCATTTTCATTGCGACCACCGTTTAATTACAATTATAATAAGCCAGCAGTAACAATTGGCGTTGGATGAGGGATTTCTGGTTGTCGGGACATTTACAAACACCATTTGATATCAGCACAATTAAAAGTTTATGAAGCATCCAAGATTCTATATCTCTACAACCTTTCTGGAGGGCAATTTCTCCATATGTATGACAAGCCTTAAAAACACATACCCTTTTACCCCAGCAATTCCACTTCTACACAAGGAAGTTATTCAGCAAGGATGAAAAGATTTTTTCATGAGGATGGCTATCACAGGAGTTTGTGAATAACAGTGAGAAACACCTAAGTGTCCAGCAATTGGCATTGGGGGCATAGATCCCAGGCTATCCAGACAGTGGTATATGACCACTTGAATTTGGTGCTACTATTCAGTTTCGCTATAGATGTACGTTTATTGATGTGGAAAGGGATATAATTTCAAGTGGAAATGTACATTACAAAACACAAAACTTAGATCATAGGGGATGTTAAGATCTATATTCATAAAAAGCCATAGAAATTTCCAAAAATTTATATAATCTGATACAAATAATGTCTTAAAATATTGACATATGGCAAGGTATATGTGTAATAATACAATAAGCTGGAAATAAACATAAATTGTTAATAGAGATATTATGTCAGGGTGTTCGAATTATAGGTATGCTATGATTTTTTTATTTTGGTTATCTTTTTTCCTAATTTTTAGGTAATTTACATATATTAATTGTCTAATAATAAAATAATAGTGTTTTTCATGTTTGTAAAGCAATTCTGACTAGTTCTATCAGTATAAGCAAAGTATAAGTTTTCAAGGCTGCTTTAAACTGAGGAACCTAAGAGTCTGGAATGATGTGAGTTAGCAGTTTATTTTAGCACACTGTGTCTGGCAGGGTCTGGCCAGAAAATCAGAGCTCATGCTGGGTAGTTCAATAGAACGGACTTGCTATTGGGGAACTATAGTGAAGGTGTTGGAAGAGCTGAAAAGCCAAATAAGGGATGGCAAGACAGTCAGAGGATTAGCAAAAGGAGAAAGCTTCCACCACCTCCAGGGCTGGTGGAACCAAGACAGTGATAGCTTTCGAAAGGCCTAGAATTGGGCCACTTGGCAGAAGCTGGACTCACGGAGGAGATGTGGTTTCAGCTGGAGGTGCCACCAGAAACTCAGTGAGAAGGGGAGAAATATCCTGGCTTCTCTTTCTCACCCTCCAGTTTCCTGCTGCTCCTCCTATTGGCTGAACCTACCTGGAAGCCAGCTGGCAAGGGTGCCTGGGAAATGTAGTTTACAAGGATCAGCTCTCTGTGGCGGGAGGAAATGGAAATAAGAGCCAAAGCAGATGGTTATGGTTATAGCTTCTGCAAATGCCTTGGCTCCAGGTGCTGACCAGGTACTTTTGGACTATAAAGCTGGTTCTCCCTTAATAAGGACTCTTTTGCAGATGGTAACTTTGGGTGTTTCTTATCTTTTGAGCCTAAACCTGAAGTTTCTAGAATCTTCCATAGCTTCAATGCATATCCAGAATTGGGATCATTCGCTCTCTCTTAAAATCGTTGTCAAAACTGAGAATCTAGAACTCTCCCACTTCTCCCAGTTTCTTCCCCTAGGAAGAATTGTAGATTCCAGATCTATTTGGTTTACCTCCTCTTGCATCAGAACTTACCTGTCCTGTGTCCCACACCCTTTAGATCCTAATCGCTGATAAATGGACTGCTGCTAAGTATTCCTCCCTACTGACGCTGATTAACATGTCTCTTGACCCAGCGGACACATCTGCACTCTACACTTAAGATTGTTCTAGTTATGAAACTAACTAATGAACGTTGTAGAAAATCTGGAAAAGATAAAAAATTAGGAGAAAATAAAAGCCGAGGAGAACCCCATCACCATCTCTTTGGATGTCCTTTGCTTCACTTTCTGTGACTACTCTCAGCCAGGGTTCATAAAAGCCACCCTGGGGCAGTTGACTTTAATTTTCTGTCCTTACTTCCCTTGGGTGTCCCATTGGCCGTAAGCGCTTCAGTTTTATTCATTGCTTTGCAGAGGGTGGGTGATGTCTCCGTTCTTTGCTTCATGGAAAATCAAATTGAGTCTCTTCTGTCCACCTGTTTCCTGCAGCTCGTGTCCCTTCTCTGACTGATTTTTAAACGAGTCTTTGAGAGCAAGCCTGTGAGAAGCTATGTGACGTCCTGTAATGTGTCAGGTTAAAAGCTGATAAATGTGGGGGCATGAGAGCTCGGACTCATAGTGGAACCTTAGGTGGGGATGGTTTTTTTTGGGCAGGTATGAATACATGTAATATTCATGTATTGGGACTGTTTAAATAGTAACATTTGGAAGCGATTTAGTTTAACCTGACAACTGAGAAGTGGGAGGTGGCTGGAATGAAGGGAAAGAGGTTTGTTGTCTGAATTACCCAGGTTTAAGAGTTGGGTCTGTCACTGAGGAGTTGGATGACCTTGGGCAAGCTCTGTACCCTCCCTGAGTCTGTTTCCCCACCTGTGAAATGGAGCTAAGGCTGTCTATCACTCGCCTACGTGCCATAGAGGATCCTAAGTGTGTTCTTATTTGAAATACATGATTCCATTCAGTCCTCGTCATATTATCATTATTCCCATTTTATAGAGGAGCAAGCTGAGGTTTCGAAAGATGAAAATGACGTGCTAGTAGGCAGCAAAGTCTGGACCTGAACTCAAGTTCAAGTGACATCAAAGTGTGTGTGTTCTTAACCACTACTTCATTCTGCCCCCCCGTTACGCACAGTGGGCGCCAAATAAAGGATAGCAGTTGCCTGCTATTAATTTACAGATACCACCTCCAAAGCTTGCCCACTGAATTTTGTTAGATTTTGTCATAAAAATTTTTATACGGCAGAAAATCAGAATAATTTGATGAAGGTCATGGCCAGAAAGTCAATCTTTTAAATGTCTGTTGTTCTCTTGTCTTTTATGAAAGAATGTTCCAAACCCATCTTTGCTAATCTTCTTAAAATATGATCTACTTCCTGGAATCAGATTAAGATGGAAATGAATTCCTGCTAAATGTACTTGAGCTGATATAGACATCAGGGGAACAGCTGGGATGCTCCGTCAAGTGGTGAGAGGGAAAGGGGGCCGTTTGAAAAGAGCATGAGGAGCAAGCAAGAAGATGGGCAAATTTCAGGCTCATTACGGAGAAGCTGTAAAGAACGAAATAGGCAGAGAACGGGTGGGATCCGTGGCGAGAGTATGCACATGAGCCCAGAATTCTTAGCTTGCGCTCCAATAGTGAAGTTCTGGTGGTGAATGGCACTTCTCTTCGGGGAGAATGAGGTTTGTTTTTGGGATAAGGATATGAGGACATCCACGAAGAGATAACCCAGAGCTAGTGACTTCGTCCACATGCAGACCCTTCAAACTGAAATCTGAAGTCTGCTACTGAATTCTCTAAAGAAGCCCTTCACTGAAGACAGGGTGCATCCTTTAGAGAGTATTTTGACTCAACTTCCCTTTTATTCTCATCTTCCTATGGACCCAGGAGGAAGCAGGTTGGGGGCTTAGGGATAGGTGGGGATGGGTGGTGGGAAAGGAGACTGTCATCTAAGGGAGATGAGCGAGCCCTCTGCTGAGAACCTAAGGACAGAATAAGCAGCAGGAGTCCTCTGGGGGAAGACAGGGATGACAATGATCCCTGGGAAGAAAGCTTCTGATCTCCAGCTCCTGAGACAGTGCCTGGCCATGAGTTCAATCTGACGTTGCTGAATGAAGAGATGACTGCATCACAGTCTCAAGGTTTAATCCTATTGGTTAATTATTAAGTACAAAGGGAATGAGGTACCTCACAATGGTGAGGTCTGGCGGACACCACCTGAACCAGTGAGAAGACACTTAGCATCACCAGTGATGGGACAAACTGCTATCACGCGCCCCTGAAGTGATGCACTGGGGAGGACACAGCATCACCTCCATGGAATTCCCGCCCCGAATGCCCAGTCTGAATCTGATCATGAGGGAATGGTCAGAAGAATAAAAGGTGAGCGTCATTCTGCAAAATACACATCTTAGACTCCTAGGAAATGTTAACATCTGTGTCATTTGGGGCCTCTGGGAAGCAGGCATGGAGACAGGAGCACGAGAGAAAAGAGAGAGAGAGCAAGATTGGGTAGGGAGAGCCTCAGCCTACCATGGCCACCTGACAGTCTCAGCCAAGGCAACATGGGACTCCAGGACGAAGACTGCCCGTTATGGGAACCCAGGCCCGGGGCAGAAGCGGCCAGCGCTCATCGACTGGGGACTGCCGGGCTGATCCCGGCTCCTCGTGAGAGCTGGAGTGGAGCCTGAAAGCGTCGACAGCTGGAAGTGCTCAGCAACCTGCAGTCCTTGCGGCTGAACAGCGAGTTCTTTCTTGGAGAGACGTCCAAGGGACATGCCTCTGTGGCTTCCACACTGTCATGAAAGGGGAAAGAGGCAGAGGATCCGTTCCTTTAGGAAACCAATGGGACGTGAGAGTGAGATACAGGGATGATCCCCTGATTGGATGCTGGACTGGAAAGACAACGCTATAAAGGGCATCACTGGGACAAGGGGAAATTCGTATATGAATTGAATATCGGATAATAGTATTGGATTAATGTGAAATCTCTGTGTTAAATCTATTGTGGTTACGAAGGAAAATGTCCTTAGGCAGCACATGCTGAAGTATTTAGGTGTGAAGTGTCTGCAGTGGACTCTCAAAGGGCTCGGTTAAAAATATTATGATGCACACATGTATGTGTTATATATACATATGTATAAATATACACACATATGTATATGTAGACTATCACGGAAAATATTAAAGCAAAATATGGCAAAATAACAGTGGATGTGGTTAAGGGTATATTCTTGTCCATTATGCTATTCTTACAACCTTTTTGTAGGTTTGCAGTGTTTTCTAATACAAAGTTGGGGGGGACAAAGATGAAATGGCTGCACCCCCACTTTCAAGTTTTCCTTTGCTGCAGTGAATTCCCCCGGGCCATCTTCAAACATCAGGAAGCAGGACAGCCTCGTGGAGGCGCTGCTTTAGGAATAAAGGAAGAGTCTGGGCTTCTTGCTGACATTCAGAGCGGAAGCTTGGCTGAAGTTGGGAAATAAAGAAAAGCCCATGCTCCTGAGGCTGGAGAAACTGGGGGCCATCAGAGCACACAAGTCACTAATTGTAATATACATTTTTTTTCAATACTGTCTTGACCAAGTTTTGAAGCCCTGGCTAGAGGCCAGCGATTGCCCCTTCTTGAGAAGCTGATTAAATTCACATCCTGATGGGTTCCTCTGTGAATGGGGCATGATGCAATCCTCTGATTGCCACAGGGCCAGGTACCAGACAACTAGGGCCAGCCCCTATGTCTGGAGCCTAGGAATTATTCTGATTAGCTAATCCACAGGGAGCCTGTGACTCCTGACTAACCTCGCCCTGCCTGTCACACACAAGTTACCATCTATAGACCGGCTTGCTGTTACCCTGTCCAGGGGCCAATTCCCTGTGTGGCCCTGCCTACAGGCCTTCTCTCCTTCCCATCTGTAACTAAGACAGCCTTCCGTCTTTCACCTACATGAGTGTCAGTATGTTGTACCCCACCATCAAAGGGACCTTTAAGTCTTATAAAACACTACCCATATCTGTCACGAGCTACATCCACTCTGAGGAAGAATGATCCAGCTATGGTAGCAGCTTGCCTTGGGACTGGGTGGGGAGGCTAAGGGTGGGGGCATTTTTTACATTGTTTTATTTAATCCTTGTACCAAACTTTATGAGGCATCTTTATCCCTATTTTGCTGAAAAGGAAACCCAGGATCCAAAAGGTTAAGCCGCTTGTTTAAGATCACACAGTCAGTCAGTGGTGGGGCCGGCATGGTGCCCTCCTCACCTTGACATGCTCCTTCACCGTCACCTAATCCAGGGGTCCACAAACCACCGCCTGCTCCAGGCTTTCGTAAATTGCAGTTTTACTAAAAACACTCATTTGTGTTTACTATTGTTTGTACTATTACCATTTGTTTACTATCGTAAACCCAGGGAACTCTGTTTCCCTTTTGTAAATGAAGGGCGTGGACCAGGAAGGGAGATGTCCCTCAAGTGGCCTGCAGGGTCTGTTTGATCCATGCAGCGTTTACAATTACGTGGAATTCACTTCATACCTTGAGAAACCATGATCTCTCACATACACACCCAGGTTTCTAGCCATGCAGCAACACAAAAGGTCGCAGAAAATGCGGCATGCGCAGTCTTCGTTTTCTTTGAGAGTGGGATGGGTGGTGGGAGGGGGGAGTATCCAAGTCCGGGGCTCCTAAATTGACAAATTGTTGTGGCATTGCTCTGCATTAGCACTGTGCTAAGCGTTTTATGCCATCCATCTCATTAGCTTCTTCCAACAACCCAATGAGACAGTTATTAATAAACCCATTTTACAGAAGAAGAAAAGAAGGCACCGAGGGACTCATTCAAGGTCACACAGCTGGTCTGAGCTGTGGTTAGAATCCTGATGTGATGGCTAATTTTGTGTGTCCACTTGACCAGGCCAGAGTGCTCAGATATTTGGTCAAACATTATTCCAGGTGTTTCTGTGGGGATGTTTGGGATGAGTGTGAAATTTAAATCGATAGCCTGAGTAAAGCAGCAGATTACCCTCCCTAATGTGGGTGGGCCTCATCCAAGTAGCTGAAGGACTGAATGGAACAAAAGGCTGGCCCATCCCCAATAAGAGGGAGCTCCTCTGGTCTGACCTCCTTTGAGCAGGGACCTCAGTTTTTTCCTGCCTTCGGACTCGAACTGAAACATCAGCCCTTCCTGGGTCTTGAACTTGGAGGTTTTTGGGCTGGAATTTACACCATCAGCTCTTCTGGTTCTTAGGCCTTTGAACTTGGCCTGGGACTACAGCATCCAGCACCCCTGGGTCCCCAGTTTGCCAACCGAACATCTTGGGACTTGTCAGCCTCCATAATCCCGTGAACGAATTCCTTGCAATAAATCTCTTTATCTCTATCTGTATCTACATGCATCCTAGTGCTTCTGTTTCATCCCGTCTCCTCATATTTAAAACTTGGGTCTTCAACCATTAAGCCTTCCTGAAAATTCAAAGTCTTCTCCAATTCTTCATGTTGGAGAGAGAGGCAACAGTATTCCATTATTTGTTTCTTAAATCCTCCCTGTTTCCTAAGGACTGTGATTGGTCTGCTGAGAAGGAAGATGAGTGTGAAGATGGATACTGGAGAAGTGCAGAGAGAGGATGAATGGTTCCAGCTGACAAAGGCAGAGTGACATATTATGGTGAGGAGGGAGCCTTGGGGTGGGTGGGGGGAACTGACATCTAGAAAAAAGGCACAAGTTTAAAGGACTGTTTTATTGGTTTTTTCCTCCATGGCGGGCAATGTAACCTCCTCCATCTCTCCTGTGAACCCTTCAGTAAAGTGCACATTACACTCCGGCATGTTTGGAGTGGGAATTATGCTTTCAGGGGCTTAAGGAAGTGTGAGCCAGACCTCAAGGTGGACTGGGGGGAGCAGAGGAGGAGGAGCGACAGATTCAGAGGGAGAATAGGATGTGGACTCAGAGTCCTAGCTCCTTGCCCCACTAGCTGTGTGACCCCAAGCAAGTCACTTGCTCCACACATCAGGGTTCCCACCTGCCATCTGCCCGAGCCTCATCCATGAGCTGTGAGGGTACTCAGGGGCACGCCTGGTACATAGCTTTGTGAACCAAACTTGCCAAAGAAATGTTACTATCACTGTCAGTGTACCACGAGTATCTGCAGTTTTTACAAAATTTATATATTATATTTATTCATAAATTATAAATTAAAAGTATAACTTGAGTGAGATTATGAAAATGTTCCCAAATCATTAAGGGCAGGTTAAGGCTGTCAACAACCCCGAGACAGTCAGCAATGGTAGCTATGCACCAATATAACAGTAGGTGGCGCTAGATGCCACTAGCTTTCAATCAAGTCCTGCTTTTCCTCAATCTCTTGTCTTTCTCTGCCTCCTTCCTTTCTCACTTGATTGAAATGGAAATCGGCTGCCAGCATCAATGAGCCCCCATCAGCCTTGGGATTGAGGTGGCATGCCAGCAGCCAACGTGCTATCCATAGAGTAAAAAAAAAAAAAAAAAAAAAAAAAAATCACACGTTAATCTCGTTAATCTCACAAACTCTTTTGAAAGCCTAACTATGATGGCCCAGCAGCCCAGCTGTTGGACACCAGCAGCCAATAGGAATCCATGTGATGGGCTGCCGTTCAAAGTCCTGGAGGAGCTTCAGGACGTGGGCCCAGGGATGTAACAACTACCTTGCCAACGGTACTTCTGTTCAATAATTATAACAGTGCCCAAATTTTTCAGCACCTCCCATGTGTCTGGAAACGTGCAAGGCTGGAGATGGCAAGTGAGCTCCAGCTTGAGTGCCAGCCTCAAGCTAACCATTAGTGGCAGTGGATTCTGGAGCTCCTTGGAGTCCAATCTCATTTAGAAAAGCATTCTGTGATTGATTAGCAATGTCTGCCCTGGTCCAGGAAGGAAAAGCAGTATTATGACACACAATTGCCATCCCCATATTGGGCACTTTGCCTGTCTTTTCTCTTTGAATCTTCATGCCCATTCAAAAAGTTAAGTGTTGTCATTATTATTATTACTCCCATTTTATGATTGAGGAACCTGAGACCCAGATTAGTTAAATAGCTTGCGTGAGGTCAGTGAGCTGGTGAGAGGAAGGCCCAGTTCAGCCAGTCTAGTTGACTGGAGGGCACCCTCCACTGCTTATCATGCCCTAATTTGCTTCCTTTCTTGAAAATGAAACAAATTATTTGGCAACTCATCCTGGAGAAAGGAAACAAGTAGTGTCCCAAGAAATTCTCCTTTCATATTCTCAGTATCTTCATGCGGACTGTGTGTGGGATGGGGGGGGAGGGGGTGCGGTTTAAGTCCCATGTGGCTTCAGTTCGTTTTCTGTCTCCCTGGAAGAAGATGAAGTCAACATCTTTGCATGTCCAAGTGAACCCCCTCAGGGTCCAAAGAAACCCAGTCTCCCATTGGTTAATAACTGTTAACTCCGTTTTCCAAATGAGAAGTGGAAGCATAGCTGAGCTTAAGCCAGTGATGAAAGGAGAAAGAGCCAAGACACAGAAGAGCTGGTTGGGGCTGGCATTCCCCTTGGAATGAGCCTTTGTGTGACTACAGGGCTGCTGCCACATGAATTCTGTGACGCTGTCCCCGGGATGCCATCCAATGCCAAGCCGCGTGGACCATGTTAGGAGGCTGGGTGAGGGAGAAGAGTAGCCCAAATATTTCTTAAATACCTACTATGAGTTAGAAACTGGCTGAACAAGACATCATGCCTGTCCTCAAGGAGCTCAAGCTCCAGTGGGGGAGGCGGGTATTCAACAGACAATTCAACTAGGATGTGCTGAAGTGCAGGCACTGAACACAGCTTGGCACTGGGGGCTTACTGGCCAGGCTTCAGACTGGGCCGAACACAAAGCGTGGAGAGGGAACCAGAAACAACCGGAATGTAAAGTGTGACCGGAGAGAGGGGGTGGCAAGGAAGGTTCTCCTGACATCCTTAAGTAGGAGAAAACGAACCTTAATCTGGTAATGCTGCTGAGAAACCACGAGAAGCCACTTCAGCAAAACAAAGCTTAGAGAGGAAGGCCCTAGCTAAGGGCTGCAGATGAAGTATTGAGTCTTACTTCATGTTTTATTTCGGTTTTTTTTTTTTTTTTGAATAGGTAGTATTTTCAAGTGGTTTAAAAGCATACGGAATGGTATGTGGTTAAAAAGTATTACTTCCACCTTGTCCTCAGTCCATTCATTTCCCTCCCTGGAGATGACTAGCGTTACTACGTTCTTGCGTATCCTTCCAGAGAGATTTTATATTTTAATAAGCAAACACAGACACACAGACACGCACCTGGCTGGCACATTCACACAAGGGCAGTCGGAATATTTCCCTCCATGGCCCCAGGGGCTGCCTTGGTGTCCTGCACTGGCCCTATGGACATTGTGGTGACTGGTCTGGCACCTCTCATGTGAGCAGATGTTGGTCCCAGCTGTCCTCAGGGTGGTATTTCCAGCCAGTGAGTTCTGAACAAATGCACCAATGGTACAAAGTCTCCCTGTTGATAAAGGAGCTTTACGAACATGATACAAAAGTGTAACTATGATGCCTCTCACCATCTCTCCATCTCTGGAGGAGGGACACAATCCCCAGTATGTAAAACCCTCTCATGTTTTGGCTTCAGCCTAAGGATCAACAAGGAAGGCAAGTGGGCTGAGGTTTGAGCACCAAGACGCAGCTTGTATTCACAAAGTATAAAGAAAACCAGCAGCTCCTATTTAAAATATCTGTTATATTCAGCTTACCTCCTTATTACATTTCATATTCATATTTTTAACATAAAGTTCAAAACCAGTGATTTAAGCAGCTGTTATGCTTACCTTGTAAATTGTGTGTCTTCCCTCGCCTCTCCTCCAAATTCTAGCCTTGCAAGGTGCATAGGGTGTTGACCTTGTCACATGACATCTTTGGTGCCTGGTACAATGCCAAACTAGGAGTGGTTTCTTGGCAGTTATTTCTTGAGTGAGTGGACGAATAGGTAAAAATAAAACTGTAATATTTGCTGATTTTCAACTTTTAGACTCAACTCATCGACAAAGCCTGGAAAACGGAATTATGGGTCCAGAACAGAAAGTGAGCATTATCAATCTTGACAATGTAAAAAGTAGTAGTAAAAGACACCAGGAGAGCTGATGAGGACAATCTCTTCTTCTGTGGAGGGAAAGATACTCTCTGTGGGTGATTGGGGCAAGAAATGCAAGAGTAACATAGTTTCCTTTAAAATCATGATTTATTTTTAGAACAGTTTTAGGTTCACAGAAAAATTGAGCAGAAGCTACAGAGAGTTCCCATATACCCTGCGCCCTCACACATGCACAGCCTCCCTGACTATCAACAACCCCTGCCAGAGGGGTACATTTGTTACCATCGATGAAGCTACACTGACACGTCATTATCACCTAGAGTCCATAGTTTACATGAGGGTTCACTCCTGGGGTTATCCATTCTGTGGTTTTGGACAAACGTATAATGACGTGTATGTATCATTACAGTATTGTAAGGAGTAGTTTCACTGCCCTAATAACATATTTTTAAAAATTAAGGTAATGCTAGTTTTAGGGCAATGAGGGTTGGGGATGGGAAGTGGGTACAGGGGCAAAGATGCCAGATCTTCATCTTTCAGAGCAGAAAGTCATTAAAGTCTTAAATGTATAAACAGAAAAACAGAGGTAAAACAAATAATTTGGGGACAGGATCATTGGGAGGAATAATGAAAAGTGTTAGAAGTGGCTGCCTGGGAAATGGTGTCAGGAGTGGGAAGTGGGCAGGAAAGAGGGTTTCTGCTCTTTGGGAGAAGACTTTTCATGCTATTTTTTTTTAAACCTGTGTATGTTTTACATGATTTAAAAAAAAAATTAAAAGAGTTTGAGCGCTCTAGTGAAATTAAAACACAGAGCCCCACTCTGTTCCCATGAAAATCAACATGCGAAAGCTGCTCCGTAGTGTTCGTTCTCGTTTCGGAGTCAAAACAGAATTAATTTGGAAAAGAAAATACAGCCGGGGAGACGAGGTAGCAACTTCAGGAAATTCAGGGAAATGTAATTGAGTAAGAATTATCTGCTTAATTACTTCTGACCAAATCAATAACAATGCTAGATGAGAAACCACGGTCGCCACCAATGAGTATCAAGTTACCGAGAAACTAATTGGGGTTCAGAATTGTTTGCAAAAACAGAACACCTTCCTCCTTGTAGTTAGCAAACATGGTTCCTGGGGGGGGTAAGTGGAGATGGGAGAAGACTGCGGTTGGCAGCCTGGGGTGGAGAAAATAATAAGCTGAACCTGCTTATTATTTTCAAACGTGAAAGCTATTTTCAAATGTGGAAGCCTGAACGGAGAGCCCTTCTCCAAAGAGGTGAAAGCAGGGATGCCCTTGATGGTGTCAAATGTTCATTTTCATGCTTTCCTGAGGCTAAATAGGGTGAGAAGGCGGTTCGTAGCATAAATCAGAGGGAGATGGACCAAACACTGCAGAGGTGAGTAAGGGAGCGTTTGCAGGAACTGCAAAGATTTCTTTAATACCATCTCAGGTGTGCCTCTGGGGGAGATAGCGAGGGTCCTTGTTCCAAGGGAGCCCTGTTGGGCACACCCATTAGATCTTTCTGGGACGTGGTATTTGGGCTAGGTTAAGATCCTAGCTAGAGCTGAGAGAAGCGTGTGC